AGCCTGGCGGGGGGGCGCACGGACACCGGGGAGCCTGGCGGTGGGGGGCACAGGGATACCAGGGAGCCCAGCTGGGGCGGGCAGATGAGCTGGGCAGTTGAGGACAGGCACTGGGGTAAGGGCAGTGGGGCAGGAGCTGCACTGGGTGGTGGTTCCTGGGAGTCCCCCACTCAGCCCAGGGTGGGGTCCCCCCCATCAGCAGACTCCCCCCCCGTGAGCACCTTTTCCCCCAGCAGAAGGGCGGGCAGACCCTCAATGCGGAGACCCGGAACGTCTCGCAGGCGTTCGCGGGGCTAAACGAGCAGGTGGCCAGCGAGGCGGGGTACGGCGTGAGGCGCCCGCGCCGGGCACAAGGGCACCATGCCCCCAGCACACAGCAGCTGTACGAGCAGAAAACCAAACTGCGCTGCAAATGTGAGTGTGCCCAGGCTGCGCGGGAGTGGGGGGCACAGTGCCAGGCGGGCTGCGGGGGGCCGGGAGCCGAGGCAGGGCCAGGCTGCACCAGGCAGGGCTGCGGCTCCGCTCGCTCTGTCGGGCCGAGCCGGGGGGCTGCGCTGGGCTGTGGCGAGAGGCCCCAGTGACCTGCTCCCCCCCCCCCCAGACGTGATTGACGAGGCGATCGGGCGTTGCCAGGCCTGGTTCGACGCCAAGCACAAGGCCTGTCTGCGGCGCGTTGCGGTGCCCCTCATCAGCCACCTGCTCTGTCTGCCCATGAAGTTCAAGTTCCTCTGCCACGTGGTTCAGGGTGAGTCTTTGGGGAGACCCTGGGCTGGGGGCAGCGGCGGGGGAGGGGAAGGGGCCAGAGGGTGACCCCATGGTGGAGGAGCTGGGAGCCCCGGGCTGGGGGGAGCAGGGCTGCTGCGTGCCCAGGTCCAGGGACGTGGGTGGTGGGGAGGACAAGGCCTGCTGCAGAGGGTGAGAGACCCTCGTTCCATCGCTCCCCCCACGCTGGGACCCTCCCCCATCCGGGGCCCCGGTGCTGCCAGACCCCGGCTCTGAGCCCAGAAGAGCCAGGAAGCCCCCCCACACCTTTAGCGGCCCTGAGGGACAGGTGGGGCTGTGCCCACGACGGGGGACAGGTGTGGGGCTCCCCACTCCATGCAGCTCACTTCACCACCACCCCCCCAGTGATGCACGCCTGGTGCAGGGACAAGATCCCCGTGGAGGGCAACTTCGGCCAAACTTACGACAAGGTGAACGGCTCTGTGGCCGGCATCAGCCAGGACTTCAGCGCCCAGCTGGTCATCAAGGTGTGAACGCCCTGTCCGCGAAGTAACGCCCGCCCTTCCCCCTGCCCCTGATGTAACGCCTGCCCTTCCCCCATCCCTAGGGTGTAACGCCCGCCCTTCCCCCTGCCCCTGATGTAACGCCTGCCCTTCCCCCAACCCTAGGTTGTGACACCCACCCCTCCCCCCAAGATGTGACACCCACCACTTCCCACATCACTCTAGGGCAGAACGAGTGCCCCCCCCCCGGGGTGTGAGCCCGACCTTTCCCCCCCCGGCCAGGCCCCAATGGTGCAGAAAGCCCCCCCTGTACAAAGTGCCCCCGGAATTGAGATGCCCACGCCTGCTGGGGCTAGGGTGACCAGATGTCCTGATTTTATAGGGACAGTCCTGATTTGGGGTCTTTTTCTTATATAGGTGTGACGGAGCAGGGCAAATTTGACCTGGGAATGTTGCAGGGGAATTGCAGTGAGGAGGGGGGACTTCCCTTGAAGGAAGCTACCTGAGCTGTAACCTGAGCCAGGAACGGGGGTGGGGAGAATTAACACCTTCTGCCCGGGAGACTGAACAAAGGAGAGGAGCAGCGGGAGGGGCTGGGAGTTTAGTTTCGGTTGGGGCTGGGTGGTGCAACGCAGGAAACCCCAAGCTGGGGTCTAAGCTCCCTGAACCTCCCAGAGGAACCTAATTAAGGGGGTCTGGTCGTACCTACACGCTCTGCTTGAGACTGTGTTCCTGTCCTTAAATAAACCTTCTGCTTTACTGGCTGGTTGAGAGTCGCAGTAAATCTCGGAAAGAGGGGTGCAGGGCCCTGACTCCCCCACACTCCGCAACAATAGGCTCCTATTACCCCCCACCCCCTGTCCTGATTTTTCACACTTGCTGTCTGGTCACCCTAGCTGGGGCCATGGGGAGGGCTGCACGCCCCTGCTGACTGGCTCTCTGCCCCCCAGCACGAGGCCCAGGACACGCTGGTGGGCGTGAACGTGTCCCGGGAGCAGCTCACCGAGGAGGTGACCTCGCACGTGCGTCAGCAGAGCGTGCGGCTGGGCCAGGCCATCTCCGTGCTGCGCCTGCTGCTCTCCTGCACCTTCCTCTTCGTCTTCATCTCGTGAGCTCAGCCGCCGGCCCGCAGGGGGCAGGGGACGGGCTCTGTTCCCTTGCATGGGATGGCACCGAGCCCCCACGCCCACATGCCCTGGGGGGATGTTATGGGACGCAGCACGGCCTAGGGGGTAGAGGACGGCCTGGGACTCTGGAGACTGGGATTGGCCACTGGGTGACCTGGGGCAAGTCCTGTTCCAACTCCATGCCTCAGTTTCCCCATGTGTAAAACGAAAACCGGGATCCTGACCTTGTAAAGCCCGTTGCGACCTGTGGACGAGCTGTGTGCAGACTGGGACGAGGCCTCCCCTGGCAGCAAGGGGTGGGCCCTGTGCCCCATGTGCCTGTCTGGCAGTGCCCAGCTTGGGGGGGTTGGCCCAGCGGCGCCCCAGGTCTCAGCTCCCCCACTCATCTCCCAGCGCTTTCTCCTACACGAACCACTACAACCACGATATCCGCTTCGACAACCTCTACGTCACCACCTACTTCCGCCAGCTCGACGCCCGGCGCTGGAAGCAGGTGAGGGCACCTGGCCTGGCTCGGGGAGGGCATGGGGAGCCGCGGGCTGGGGATCGGAGGGCTCGGGGATGGGGTCTCAGGCAGACAGTCCACGAATTGTCCTGCACCTTGTTGCCATTCCAGGTGAGTGCCCCTGGCCGGGAGGTGGGGTGAGGGCCCTCGGGAGGGGCAGGCCCTGGGTGCCAGCCCGTGCTGCTCTGCTTTGTCTCTCCAGAAGAAGCGTACGTTGCTGCCCCTGCGCCGGGCCGAGGTCTCCGGCGTGATCTTCCCCTGCAGGCCGGCCGTGCAGCCGCCCGAGCTGAAGAGCCTGGTGAGTGGGGGCCGGGGGCCACGCTGGCACAGGCTGTCCTGGCTGCCCGGCGGCGTCACCCCCGTGGGAGCCCTGGCAGCTGGCGCTGACCGAGCATTGCAGGTGTGCCTTGCGGGAGCACTGGGCTGGGAGCAGGGGACATTTGGTTTGCCGGGGGGTCTGGGGGAGGCTGTAACGCTCTCCCCCTCAGATGCTGGAGCTGCTGGAGTGCATCCCCCCGCTGCTCTTCCTCCTGCTGGCCTGGGGCCTCGACCATGTGCTCTACACCATGTTCAGTGTTATCCGGCACCACTCCTTCGTGCAGTACTCCTTCCGCAGTGAGTGCCTGGCACGGGCAGCCGCCCCCCCATGGAACCGTCCCCAGGGACAGGCACAGCTCCCCTGCCCCATGGAACCATCCCCAGAGGGGGCAGTGCCCCCAGCCCCACAGCACCGTCCCCAGGGACAGACACAGCTCCCCCGCCCCATGGAACCATCCCCAGAGGGGGCAGTGCCCCCAGCCCCATGGCACCGTCCCCAGGGACAGGCACAGCTCCCCTGCCTCATGGAACCATCCCCAGAGGGGGCAGTGCCCCCAGCCCCATGGCACCGTCCCCAGGGACAGGCAGAGCTCCCCCACCCCATGGAACCATCCCCAGGGACAAGCAGAGCTCCCCTGCCCCATGGAACCATCCCCAGAAGGGGCAGTGCCCCCAGCCCCATGGCACTGTCCCCAGAGACAGACACAGCTCCCCAGCTCCATGGCACCGTCCCCAGAGGGGGCAGTGCCCCTAGTCTCATGGCACCATCTCTGGATGATGGCTTCCCTCCAGCAGCAGCAAGTGCCTTTCACAACGTCTGGTAGGGGGCACTGGCATTCCAGCCCCACAGGTAGGGCTCGCCAACTCCCCTCCCTGCCTTCCCTAGGCCTCTACAACCCCCCCCCTTGTGTGTGTCCCAGGGTCCCCCTCCCCATGACCCCGACTCTCTGCCCGCTGCAGGCAGCCACCACCTGGAGGTGCGGGTCGGGGGCCGCTCCCTGCTGGCCCGGCTGCTCCGAAGCACCATCGGCGCCTTGAACACGTCCTCCGAGATGGCGCTGGAGTCGACTAACCTGGGTGAGGGTGGGGGAGATGGACACCCCTCCCCCACATGGAGGGTGCCCACCCCCCAGGCATGGGGATCCTGAGGGCGCAGGCTCCCGTGGCCTGGCCCATCTCTGCCCAGCCGGGGGGCTGCTGCCTAGGCCAATCCCAGCCGCTCTCCAGACCCTTGGGCCCTGCTCCCTCCCTGTAGATATTCCCCCTTCCCTCTGGAAATTCACTGGGGTCATCCTGAGCGAGACCCCAGGGCAGCGCCCTCTCCCCTCCTCGGCGCTCCGGCTGCTTGGGGCAGGGGACGAGGGGAACAGGGAGCCGAGGCCTCACCCTGTCCGTCTGTCCGGCCCCGCAGCCTGCCTGCCGCAGCCCCAGGCCATGACACAGAGCGACTACCTTTCCAGCTGCCTGCCCCTGGGGGCCCTGGTGCTGCTGTGTCTGGGGCAGGTGTATGCCCACCGCCTGCGCCGCGTCATTGCTGCCTTCTATTTCCCCAAGGTGAGCCCCCCGCCCTGCATTGACCCTGACCCCTCCCCCTGGCTGAGACGCCCCCGTGACTCCTCCCTCCCCTCTATCTCCAACACCCCCCTGACCCTCCAACACTTCCCCTCTTCCGCCATCTCCCCTCTGGTCCCTCCACACGCCCTCCCTCCTGTCTCTGTTAATGGGGCCCAGGTAGATTCCAGCCAGGGCCCCCTGCCTGGGCTGGGGGCTGACCCTGCTCTCCCCAAACTCCTGGGGGTGGGGTCACCCCCAGATCCCAGGGGAGTGGAGCTGGGGGAGGGGCTCTGCCTCCCTGCCCCCACGGCCCCTCAGGCTCTCCCCTCCGGCCAGCGGGAGAAGAAGCGGGTTCTCTTCCTGTACAACGAGCTGCTGCGCAAGCGCCAAGCCTTCGTCCGGCTGCAGAGGAGACGCATCGCCCGGCACGCCCGGCGGCACCAGGCCTTTGTGAGTGCAGGCGTCGGCTGGGCTGGGCAGGGCGCGGGGATGGCGAGGGGCAGGGGAGGGCCCTGCAGCCCCCACGTACGTACACACCTCTGCACGCCCAGGGCAACATGCGCCTCTGGGCACCTGTGGAGACAGCAGCCACACTCACGCCAGATGGTGAGAGCCATCACACACCCCTTTGCACAATTGTGCACATGCTCACACATGCATGGGGGAGCCATTGCACACACCCTCTGCACACCTGTGCACACGCCCATCTGTGGGAGATGTTCCACGCCCGTTGCCACAGGTGGACGGCCACCCCTCCCCGCGCAGCCCTCCCCAGCTCGCGTTATTCTGCTCCTCCCCCACTCTGTCTGCTGTCCCCAATTCCAGGGCAGGGCTTCCCCTGCTCGGCCCAAGTCCCATCACGGGCTCTGGCTCCCACTCTGACCCCACAGCCAGGACAAGACCCCGGCCTGGGCTGCGGGGGAGGATGCCAAGCAAAAGCCCAGGGAAACGGCCTCTCCCAGTCCCGGGGGAGAAGGACCCACTGCCCACGCCCGCCTAGAGCACCCGGTCTTGTCCCTGCTGCAGGAGAAGCCCCTGCTGGAGCGTTTCTACCTCTGGTGCCCACTTCTGCGCCGCTGCCTGCGCCGGTACTGCGTGCTGTGCGGTTCACCCGAGAGCCGCACCTCCCAGCCGTGCCCGACGCCCACCTGCGGCACCATCTACTGCCGGCCCTGCTGGAGGGACATGGGGCAGGTCTGCTTCGCCTGCACCCCCGGCCACGCGCCCCTGTCTGGAGACAGCAGCAGCGAGGAGCAGATGAGCTACGCGGACTGAGGCATGGGGGGCCAGCAGGAGGTTCCTCCCCAGGTTGGGGCTCCTGGCTCATTAAACAGACGCTGCTCTTGGCCTTGGTGGCGGTCTCCTGTCCCCCTCTAGCGGCTGGGGCACAGTCAGGATAACGGCCTGCTGCCCTGCTGGCAGCCTGTGGTTGGGTCAGTCCTGGGGAGCCGGTGTTTGCAGAGCAGGGGCTGATCCTCAACTCTCCCCTCCCATCTTTGGTCCCCCCCCATTGCCCCAGCCCCCCCCGCCAATGCCTGTGACCCAGCGAGAGCAGCCGGGAGCCAGCACCACTAAGGGCAGAACAGGAGGACTTGGGGCACCTTAGAGACTAACACATTTCTTGGAGCATAAGCTGTCGTGGGCTACAGCCCACTTCATGGGATGCATAGCCTGGAACATATAGTGAGGAGATACTGTATATACACATACAGAGAAGATGCTATACCAGCTGTAAGAGGCTAATGAATGAAGATAACCTCTATCAGCAGGAAAAAACCTTGTGTAGTGATAATCAAGACGGTCAGTTACAGACCTAAGGAGAGTCATAAGGAAATAGATTCAAGTAGTGTAAGGACTCCGCCATTCCCAGTCTTGATTCAAGCCAGAGTTAATGGCCAGAGTTTTGTATGACTCAGCTCCAGCCCCAGATGTGGGAGCCAACTCCCCCTTCAAAGGTAGTCCCCCCTCCCCATCTCCAAGCGGCCCCCGGCCCATCTGGGTCGCCCTGAAGCCTGTTAGCCCCGTCCTCCTGCGCCATGGTCAGCACTGCAGGGGACAAAAGGGACAGAGAGAGTGGGGGCTTGGGAGAGATTTGGGGGCACAGGGGGTGGGACTGGAGAGTGAGCAGGGCAGAGGGATCAGAGGGGGTGGGGGACAGAGCAGGGGGTGAGCAGGGCAGACGGTGTTTGGGGGGAGGAGGTGGGGAGCGGGGCGGCAGGGACAGAGCCCATTCAGGGGGCGGGGGGGGTGAGCAGGGCAGTTGGGGGGCAGGGGGATCAGGGGGTGTTTGGGGGCAGGGGGAGGGGAACCAGGCAGTTGGGGGGCAGAGGGATTGGGGTGTTTGGGGCAGCAGGGAGGCAGAGGGATCGGGGGGAATGGGGCAGTTAGGGGGCAGAGGGATCAGGGGGAGTTTGGGGGAAGGGGATGGGGAGTGAGGTAGTTGGGGGCAGAGGGGGGCTGAGCAGGGCAGTTGGGGGTCAGAGGGATATAGGGCTGTTTGGGGGCAGAGGGGGGCTGAGCAGGGCAGTTGAGGGGCAGGGGGCTTGGGGGCAGGCAGTGGGG